AAAATAAAAACAAAGAAAACAAAGTATAACAAAACACTGCCAAAGCTTTACAATATAAGAAGGGGCAAATAATGGCATAAAAGGCAGACATGAAATGGCATGAAAGGTATATAATAATAATAAAAACAATGGGTTAAAAAAAACCCATTAGGGGTCACCCACCAGGATGACTAACATCGAGGGCAAAATGGCTCTTTAGTCTGATTAACTGTACACCCAGCAATGCCATTAAAACACTGCATTCAGTCTATCACAATTTAACACATTCATTACACAGAAATTACATTTATGACAGTCAATAAATGAGGTGCTCGTAAATGCCTACTGGGCAAACTATTAAATGGTTCAATATTAAGAACAAATAAGTTCTTAATTCAATGTTCAAATAATTAAGTAAATTGCACAGATCCAAATGACTCAAATGTTTAGGATTAAAATAAAGCAAGTCCCTTTACACCTTTTAGGTACACAAAGACAGTCCCTTATTAGAAATGGTTCAAATTCAAAACACTAAATCTGAAGAGCTGTGGGATAAACACCCTACAAGCTTTGCGTGGGCTGTAGCTGAATGTTACTCTTTTCCAGTGACAATTAAAAACCAATTAACTACTCACCCATTTCCAGTGACAATGAAGCATCTGAAAAACAAATAAAACCCCAGTGAAGACTGAAGAAATCCAAGAATAAAAAAATATATATACATACAATATGCCAAAACTAAAGTTTCTCTCGAATCTCAAAAAAAAAAAAGTACATTAAAAATACAAATATAGGCAGGATCAGTCCTTAGCTAAATTAGGCTAAAATATGAACATACATTAAGGGAAAAAAAGCATTACCAGTTTGTATCTTGAAACAGAATAATGGTACTGACATTATGATATGTGTCAGTGCAAGTTGCTTTCAGTTAAAACAGCACAAACATGCATTGAAGTCTGAGACTAGGCTTAAGCCCTGTCTGTGAAAGCAGAAAATATACAGACCAACCTTCATCAGCTTTCTCACTCTCCAGCTTCCATCCCAGACTGACCATCCTGTGCAAATTCAGCTTCTGGGCATTTATACTCATGGGCACAACCATTGATAGACATACAAACAACCAGGAATTAAATTCACCAAACAACTAAATCTCAATATAAAAAGCTTTTTGTACATTCTCTAATCCACAATTTTTTATTTTACAACCATTTATACATATTTGCTAATTGAAAAAACTGTTTAAGTTTTAAACAACAAACAACCCCCCTCATCCTCTACACTTGGTGTCTTCCACCTCCCATGATGCACCACAGCAAAGATATAAAAGTGAATTCCATATGGTGTTCTGGTTTTTCAACTAGTACAAGCATGCTATTGCATTCGGTGGCTTTCGGTGGTTTGTTTGAGCTGGTTTTTATGGAATTGTGTAGTAGCCAAGCTCAACTGTGACTGTAGGTTTTACTCTTAAGTTGAAATTTAGAAAGATTTAATGTAAAAAGGAAGAAATTATTTTGATCTACTCTTTTGGTCTGTTTTTCATTCACCTGCATCTCCTGATTATTCACCTGCTGCTCGTCTGTCATGTGTTTTCTCTGTCAGGATTTATATGAAAGGTAGGTTGGAACTTTCTTAATACTTACTTTCTTAATATATTTGATAAAGGGACTTTTGACCATGTATTAGGCTGTCCACAATGCATTGTGGTTGAAATATAACACGAAGAGTATTAAATAAATCTTTAGTGATCAAATTAAGATTTTAATGATTTATCAATGAAACCCATTTCAATGGTCTTTTGATATGAACTCATGTTTATTGACTGATGATAGTGCACTGGAACATTAGCACTTGTGTGCTGTATAAGATTTGTCAGTAACTGTTCCATTTATTTCTGGTCACTGAAAAATCATCACCTGGTTGATCCATCACTATTCTGTTCCTCTCTGATTGGATTGGGTGGTCAGGTGTGTGTAACTCTAGTAATGCTGAGGACACGATGAGCTTACTCAGTTGTTGGATAGGGTGGTCAGGTGTGTGTAACTCCAGTGATCTGAGGACACGATGAGCTTGCTCAGTTGTTGGATTGGGTGGTCAGGTGTGTGTAACTCCAGTGATCTGAGGACACGATGAGCTTGCTCAGTTGTTGGATTGGGTGGTCAGGTGTGTGTAGGGTAGGGTATCGGTTGGGTTTTATTCAATACCAGTACCTACTCGGTATTTTTTAAACGGTTCCGGTGCTTAAACGGTTCTTGAAACGGTACGTAAGAAAACGAAACCGCACACTCTTTATCAAAAAATAATACCCTTTTATTTACAGGGCCAAACTGGACACAATATTAACTTAAATCTTTAAACAATATAAATACAAGTAACATATGGTAATAATAAAACCAATATAAAATACTAATTTTTACATTACATTTTACATTTTACACATTTACATAATATCAAATAAAACAATATTGTATCAAACAATGTAATAATACTGGAGATTAATAGAGATAACTAGCAGAGCTGCCAACTCTCACGCATTGACCGTGAGACTCACGCAATTGACCCTTTTCACACGCTCTCACGCCACACATCCATTTTCTCACGCAGAGAAAAATCGCGGACAAAGAGGACACCGACAGACAAGACAGAGAAGGTTACTTTTGATATGGAACAAATCCACAGCTGTCAGATTCTGTCAATATTTTTACGAGATTCACACAATAAATAACGTTTTGGCTCTTTGAAATGTGACAGATTGCTGTAGCGCGTCAGTTCAAACGGCACGTGATACAGCAGCCTACAAATCCACTGCTTCTTAGCTACGCAGCGTTGAGTGAACCTATGAAAGAGAACATATCTGGTTACTGTTGTAACCTATGTTCTCTCTATAGGGAACGAGACGCTGCCAAGCTCCTCGCGCTGCCGACCAGCTTCCTTTTTCGGCAGAGAAATCTGAGGAGCAGATGGCGCGCGCGCGCCAACATAATATGAGGACGTAAGTGCGTCGAGGCGGCTCCCGCGCCATTAGCCAATGAATTGGCTTGATTCTATATGGGATTCAGACTATCGGCACACCCAGAGGGCGTTCTGACGCGTAATTTTACACGTGAAATGCAGCCAAACCTTGCGAGCAAGAGCGCGCTTGCGAGACAGAAGAGACTGTGCGTGTGTGTGTGCGTGTGTGCCTAATTAAGTCAGGCACCGAAATCAGGCACCGAAATCGTCGTTCTTATTCGGTCTGGTTACTACCGTTTACGTCGGAACCGGTTCCCTATTGGCACCGAGTTTCGGTACCCAACCCTAGGTGTGTGTAACTCCGGTGATCTGAGGACACGGTGAGTTCAGTTGTTGGATTGTGTGGTCAGGTGTGTGTAACTCCAGTGATCTGAGGACACGATGAGCTTGCTCAGTTGTTGGATTGGGTGGTCAGGTGTGTGTAACTCCAGTAATGCTGAGGACACGATGAGCTTGCTCAGTTGTTGGATTGGGTGGTCAGGTGTGTGTAACTTCAGTGATCTGAGGACACGATGAGCTTGCTCAGTTGTTGGATTGGGTGGTCAGGTGTGTGTAACTCCAGTAATGCTGAGGACACGATGAGCTTGCTCAGTTGTTGGATTGGGTGGTCAGGTGTGTGTAACTCCAGTGATCTGAGGACACGATGAGCTTGCTCAGTTGTTGGATAGGGTGGTCAGGTGTGTGTAACTCCGGTGATCTGAGGACACGATGAGCTTGCTCAGTTGTTGGATTGGGTGGTCAGGTGTGTGTAACTCCGGTGATCTGAGGACACGATGAGCTTGCTCAGTTGTTGGATTGGGTGGTCAGGTGTGTGTAACTCCGGTAATGCTGAGGACACGATGAGCTTGCTCAGTTGTTGGATTGGGTGGTCAGGTGTGTGTAACTCCGGTGATCTGAGGACACGATGAGCTTGCTCAGTTGTTGGATTGGGTGGTCAGGTGTGTGTAACTCCGGTGATCTGAGGACACGATGAGCTTGCTCAGTTGTTGGATTGGGTGGTCAGGTGTGTGTAACTCCAGTGATCTGAGGACACGATGAGCTTGCTCAGTTGTTGGATTGGGTGGTCAGGTGTGTGTAACTCCGGTGATCTGAGGACACGATGAGCTTGCTCAGTTGTTGGATTGGGTGGTCAGGTGTGTGTAACTCCAGTGATCTGAGGACACGATGAGCTTGCTCAGTTGTTGGATTGGGTGGTCAGGTGTGTGTAACTCCCGTGATCTGAGGACACGATGAGCTTGCTCAGTTGTTGGATTGGGTGGTCAGGTGTGTGTAACTCCAGTAATGCTGAGGACACGATGAGCTTGCTCAGTTGTTGGATTGGGTGGTCAGGTGTGTGTAACTCCAGTAATGCTGAAGACATGATGAGCTTGCTCAGTTGTTGGATTGGGTGGTCAGGTGTGTGTAACTCCAGTAATGCTGAGGACACGATGAGCTTGCTCAGTTGTTGGATTGGGTGGTCAGGTGTGTGTAACTCCGGTGATCTGAGGACACGATGAGCTTGCTCAGTTGTTGGATTGGGTGGTCAGGTGTGTGTAACTCCGGTGATCTGAGGACACGATGAGCTTGCTCAGTTGTTGGATTGGGTGGTCAGGTGTGTGTAACTCCAGTGATCTGAGGACACGATGAGCTTGCTCAGTTGTTGGATTGGGTGGTCAGGTGTGTGTAACTCCGGTGATCTGAGGACACGATGAGCTTGCTCAGTTGTTGGATTGGGTGGTCAGGTGTGTGTAACTCCAGTGATCTGAGGACACGATGAGCTTGCTCAGTTGTTGGATTGGGTGGTCAGGTGTGTGTAACTCCAGTGATCTGAGGACACGATGAGTTCAGTTGTTGCTGGATTGCGTGGGCACTGAACTCTGCGGGACTGAAACTGATATCCCTGATATAACCCTGGGATAAAGCAGTTTGGAGAACAGGTGGTAAATATCACATTCATGTCAATGGTCAAATAAGGTACACAAATTTGTACACTAAGTTTGAGGTTTATCAGTATCTTGAAGCATCGGACGTAATAAAGATACAGGTTTCATTTTATTTTTTGAACAATCACAAGTTGTTTATTCATAATGTCACACACAAATGCATAAACAATTTCACTCCAGATTATTAAATAGAGAAAACTACACAGGCACGCAGGAATTAAGGCATTTTCATTGAAGAGCAACTGGACTTTCCACAGACCAGAACCTGTTCTACTGAGATTTATCCCGTGGACCTCACGGGGAGCAGACGCGCCCGTAGAACAGCACGCTCCGGGACGGGTTGTGGCGTATGAAGAAGAGGAACGGGTGATCGGCACAGAAGCGCTCGGCACGCATCAGACAGCGCATCATCATCACGGCCCCGGTGGCCGCCGCCGCCTCCGTTCCCTCTTCGTTCACTTCAACGAATGACTTGTGCACCACCTTCGACAACACCAGATCGTTCCCGGGGGACATTCCCGAAAAATCAGCTTTCTGCGGGTCGAACGCATCCACCATTCCCAGGCTAATCAGGAGAGAGTTCATGTTGTAGGTTTCCTCCATCTTGAATCTGGGCAGAGACACTTCCACTTCCAGAAGGTCCATCATGTCGGGTCGGGTCCACTCCGTGAAGCTCTCGAAGGTCAGCGCGCTCTCCAGCTGGACGAGAGAGAGATCAACACAACTCAACAACTACACACAACTCCACACAGCAGATCACCACAACAGATCATCACAACTACACACAACTCCACACAACAGATCATCACAACTCCACACAGCAGATCATCACAACTACACACAACAAATCACCACAACTCAACACAACAGATCATCACAACTACACACAGCAGATCATCACAACTACACAACACAACTACACACAGCAGATCATCACAACTCAACAACAGATCTGGAGTGTCACCTTCTGAAGGCCGGTGCTGTCGTCCTCCATGGCGTTGGGGAGCAGGATCAACATACTGAGGTCTTTCCCCACATACGGCAGCTCCAGGATCTGGCAGTTCACGTCCGGGATGAAGGCCAGATGAAACTTGGCCTTCTGGAACATCATCCGCACCGGCTTCGACTCATTCTGTCAACCAATCAAAACATATCGTCACTCTCACTCACATCACATGACTGTTGCTGCAAAAACCCAGAAGGAAACCACAGAAATATTACACATATTTCATGAAGAAATGAAGAATACACAACACCGCTCAGTCTGCCCTCCATCCAAGATAAATCTGCATAATCACATGATCCAGCAACGGCATCTTCAGTGTCATTCATCAGGGTTAGGGTTAGAACTAAAAGAGACTGGTTCTTCCCACTGTCCCGTTAAACATCGCTGTAATCTGGAAATGTGTGTATGTCTCATCCATATGACATTCAGTTACGTCAACCTATTTTATATACATATTAAATTTTAAATTTTTGAGAACTGCTGCCCACTTGT